TACAATGAGCTCCTCTTACAAAGATTACAAAGACTTACCCTATTTATAGGGTCAAACTTCTAAACATAGTCAAAGTCAAACCTGTCTAAGAAAAGTCAAACACGATGACTTTTACAATTATAGACAATATTTAACTTTCAAGACGAATACAATTTAATACTGATTTTCAGTCCTAACATTCTCCCGCTTTGTATTAAGACTTAAAAGAAATTTTGCGCTTTGAGTCCTGTTTGAACTTTGAATCTTTAAGCACARTATGTCATCTTCAAAAGAAATCTTCAACTTAAAATCTTCAAGCAATCAACTGTTGAGAAAGATTTTCTAGCATTCTCCCCCTCGAATGTAAAATCGTGATGATCTTCTCTTTTGACAATGTAGAACAGTAATCAACAGAAACAATGTACAAGATTTGATCTTCAAAGAATCTTCAATAAACTGTTGTAAAGATGATATTCACATTCAACATCTCTCAGTCGTTGTACCACATGAATAATCTTTCTGTAATTATCTCCAGTCGCACTTCTTTTGAGTCTTTTGCCAATTTCGAAGTTACTCCTCCTTGATCTTTGCATCAGATTCCCTTTAAAAAGTTCGGAAATGAATATTTCATTCATTATTACATACTCCCCCTTATGATGAAATGAGAATCATTTCATCATACATAAGACGAATGAAATCTTCCGCGTAAACCGTCAATTCATGAAATTTTAAGTAGATCTTTGCAAATCCACTTATTTAAGCTTTTCAGATTAAGGGAATGGGAAGGTAACAACCAATTTCAACGAATGAAATTGTTTTCAATCTTAYAAAAAGATTGGCCTGTGAGTATAACAGATATACTCAGTACAACAGATGTACTGTATATATGAGACTTTTTGATGCTCATCTCACCAGGTCTTCCATTCAATCATTGATAGCTAAAAAATAGCATATCTATGAATGTTTTGGCAAATTAACATATAAAATGCTAAATCTGTGTAGTGTATAAAAATAAAGCAACGTATGCTTTTTTTAGGCTCAAAAAGATAAATCGTGTGAACTACACAAATTTATCAGACTCAATATGTGATCAAAAAGACTTGGAGGGGGGACATATATCCTTCTAATTCAATATCAACTTTCTCCGAATGAGAAATTGATAGATAATGAGCTACGTGCCCCAAGTGTTATTGAAACACTTGTCTGTTGAGAGATAAATGAGTAGCTGGTGGGGTTGTGACAAGAATTGGCCTGGGCTTTGCCTTTTTCAATATTACTCTCCAAAAATCGAGAACTAATAGATTATGTGGTATGCTCGGATTATATAAGTTTGGAACAGGATTTTCATTTTCTTTTAATCCTGACACAACTCTCGTCAATTCTTTTTGCTCACAACAACTACCCCTCTCTTTTTCATTTTAGTCTCAGCACATAAACCCTTTTTGTATTTAAGCTCACTCAGATATGGTTATCCTCTTGGGTAGGTCTGTCAGTTTTGACATTCCATAGAGGTATTTCTGATAAGCACTCAGTCCCTCCTAAAAAAGTATGCTCAGTTGATCACAATGGTTGATCAAAATATTATTTCTTTAGAGCACAATGATCAAATAAAAAATCGATCAAGAAATTTGGCTTTAAGCACAATTAACGAAAGAATGATGCAACAATGATCCGATTATTCGATATGTATGAGAGAAATGAATGAAGATCTGTAAGAACGAGTTTACAGATTCTGATAAAAAAATGAATGTATATCAGTCAAAGTAAAAAAATATCAGAAAACAAAACTTTGAATACAAACGAGTGTATTATCATCGAAAAATGATTATCTTATAAGAGACGTGAAAATAACAGTTTGAAGAATAGTTGAAACAGGTATTGGAGTTATGTACGACGAGAAATTACGCATGTAAAATATCAGGAAATACCTGTTCAGGAAAATGTACTCGTTACCAAAAAAAAATCATTTTCCAAAAACATTTATTGAAAATTTCTAGAGACTCCCCCTAGAAAACAGATTTAAGTAATGATTCAGTTAAGCTCAAAAGAATTAAAAAATTGAAACATTTTAAGCACGGGTTCTAAACTGAGTGTTTAGAAACCACACTCGGTAAAGCACGNAATTGAAACATTTTAAGCACGGGTTCTAAACTGAGTGTTTAGAAACCACACTCGGTAAAGCACGGGTCCTGAACTGAAATGTTCAGAAGCCTCATCAATGACTTCATCAAAAGATATATTCACGCTTTCATTGATGATTTTGGTCCGTTTATTGTAGACCCTGTATGCAGCGGATGTCTTCGAGTATCCAACAAAAACTGCTTATACTTCAACTTGCTAATCTCTACTTTTACTTCATCCACATTTAAACATCCTTGTGGCTCACAAAGCGTGTATAACTTTGACAGAAGGTTGAGTCCATCTGCAACCACCTGCTCCTCAATAGGTGCTGCTTGACAAGTACGACGTTTCTTCCCAGATCCTGCAACCTAGGAGCTGCTCCCAAGCACACGAGCCTCCATATCCAGTACAACATCCATCTTCTCCTTCTAACCAAATTCATCCTTCGCTCGACCATAAATTTTCAGGGTGTCTATTCTGGGTAAAGTTGATCTATTAAAGGTTGGTCCTATAGATATTGTAATTTCTTCATCAGCCAGGAGTGATTCTGCAATAGTAAATGGGATGTCATACCAAGACCTCATGCCCTTATCTAGTTTTATAACTCTCTAAAGAATGGTAATATCAGATGGATATATGTCCCCCCTTCAAGTCTTTTTTATCACATATTGAGTCTGATAAATTTGTGTAGTTCACACTGAGGCAAGGAAGTCTCCAGTTGTTGATGTAGTTATGAGAAATCCAGATGGCAAAGAAGTCAGGTATCCAGTGCTTCTTACTCCTAATGAGAAACAAATGGCAAGAGAAGTTTGCATTGCATTTAGGCAAGGGGTCTGTGGGTTTGATCTCTTGTGCTGTGAAAGTCGTTCATACGTTTGTGATGTGAATGGATGGAGCTTTGTCAAAAACTCCTACAAATATTATGATGATGTTGCTTGTGTGTTGAGGAAGATGTTTTTAGATGCAAAAGCTCCCCATCTTTCAACAACAATTCCACCAATTTTGCCTTGGAAGGTCAATGAACCAGCTCAAACTTTTGAGGGGCTAAGACGTCAGGGAAGTGGGATCATTGGCTCATTTGGTCAGGCCGAGGAGCTACGTTGTGTGATTGCTATTATTCGTCATGGTGATAGAACTCCAAAGCAAAAGGTGAAGTTGAAGGTCACTGAGGAAAAATTGTTGAATATAATGCTAAAATACAATGGCGGCCAACCAAGAGCTGAGACAAAACTCAAAAGTGCAGTCCAATTGCAGGACTTGTTAGATGCTACAAGGATATTAGTACCTCGTACTAGACCTAGTCCAGGAAGTGATAATGAAGCAGAAGACATTGAACATGTGGAAAAGCTCCGTCAAGTTAAAGCAGTTCTTGAAGAGGGTGGTCATTTTTCTGGCATTTATCGGAAAGTTCAACTTAAGCCACTTAAGTGGGTTAAAGCTGCAAAGGCTGATACTGAAGAAGAACGCCCCATAGAAGCGCTCATGGTTCTTAAATATGGAGGCGTTCTTACACATGCGGGGCAGAAGCAGGCTGAAGAACTTGGCAGGTATTTCCGCAACAATATGTATCTTGGTGAAGGTACTGGACTGCTTCGCCTCCATAGTACATATCGGCATGACCTTAAGATTTACAGCTCTTCAATTTGTAGATTTGATACCAATTGTGTGTCCCTACGATCAATCTTCAAGCGTTCTTCTATGAATCAATGGCAGATTTGATAAACATTCAAGAAGACATATGAGATGAGAATAGAGAGAGAAAGTCAACAATCTTCAAATGTGGCAACTCTCTTTACGTATCATGAATATTACAATGAGCTCCTCTTACAAAGATTACAAAGACTTACCCTATTTATAGGGTCAAACTTCTAAACATAGTCAAAGTCAAACCTGTCTAAGAAAAGCCAAGCATGATGAATTTTACAATTATAGAAAATATTTAACTTTCAAGGCGAATACAATTTAATACTGATTTTCAGTCCTAACAATTTGTGTTTTGACGAGAGAGAAGGTCAAAAATTGAGAGATTTATGTTTGATCGTTTTGATTGAAAAATCAATCAATCGGCTCTGATGCCAATTGTTGATCCTAGATCTCTCAATAACACTAATAATCTAGTTAATAATAACCAAATTATAGTGATTTGATGAACAAAGTGATAAACACTCAAGAAAGAAATATAAACAATTAAGAACAATCTTGAGCGTCAAAGATTTCACTTTATAAATAATAAAAATGTAAAAGCGACTTTTTACAATAGGCCTAATCACCTATTTATACTAATTAGCTAATGAGAAGATAACTATATAATGAGACTTTTTAAGCTAATCTTTTATTAACAGATAACGTTTATCTAATCTATAGATAAGCTTTAATATTAGAGATAAACTTGAAATCTAGCTGTCGACTTGTCATCTCCAGCTGTCATTCATGATGTGATGAATCATCCTTATCTTTAAGTCTTCATCGTATGTTTCTAGATGATTTGCTGGAGAATTCTCAAAGTGTTTATGACCAAAGGATCGATGAGGATGCTCTTTCCATCGCATCCCAGGTCGTCCATCAGTCCTCTGGTTGTACTCCAGACTTAGCCGTTTCTGTCTTGATGTCTTCATCGGTCTTCTGGTTCTTCATCACTTATTGTTTTTCATTACTTTTTACATTATGAATTATGCGGTTTAACAAAGGAGATGTGTCTTTTGGAATAAGGGTGGCATATCAAGGAGAGGTGTTTCTTGGAATAAGGGTAACATATCAAGGAGAGGTGTCTTTTGGAATAAGGGWGGCATATCAAGGAGAGGTGTCTTTTGGAATAAGGGTGGCATATCAAGGAGAGGTGTCTTTTGGAATAAGGGTTGCATATCAAGAAGAGAGGTACTTTTGGATATAAGGGTGGCAATTGTGTGCGAATATTATAGCTCTTACTATTATGTCTTTTAAGAATACAATAGATTTGAGGCCTTACTTCTTTATGATTTGAGAACTCAAAGATGTTGTTCTTATTAGAAATAATAGTATTGACGTTATTGAGAAGGGGAAAACTTGTCCTACGGCCATTGGTATTGGTTAAAAATGTTTTGGAATGGAATGTTCATTTTATGAGGAACCAGAGGGGCTCTGGTTATTCCTTGTAAGGAACCAGAGGAGCTCTGGTTGTTCCTCAATATAGAACCAGAGGGTTCTGGATGATAGTTTGAAAATTTTACAAGTCTTTTACAAAGTTTTAGTTAAATCAGAGGCTCTGTATTCGTGAAAATTTTGTACTTAGAAACTTTTCTTATAAAAACAGACCAAAGGGGATCTGGTTGGCCTATACGGGTTGAACCAGAGGCTCTGGTTGGTCTTGCATGAAGATACAGAAGCTCTGGCTAGTAGAACCAGAGGCTCTGGCTAGTAGAACCAGAGGCTCTGGTCCTACATGATATTTTTAAAACATAATTTTATCCTTGGAAAAACTATGTTAATATCTATGATGTTGATCGATGAACATTTTTGGGAATTTTATTTAAGTAAGAGGCTTTGGTTATTTTAACAAGAAGCTCTGGTAGAGGAACCAAAGGAGCTTTGGTCCTCTTATGAGTTGAAATATTTTTTAAGTGTGGTCTTTGGAACCAGAGGTCTGATGGACTCAAATAGAATGTGATTTTAATTCTCTTTATGTGAAATGGTTTAAATGATTTGGTGATTCTCACCTTGCATTACATAAAAAGGGAACCTCACTAGACATTCATGTCTAACCCTCATTTTGTGTTTTCAAATATGTGTGCAGGTAACGATAATAGTGAAATAATATTGTATGATTACTTCCCTATGTGCTTAGAATTATAAAGCTCATATCTGAATGAGTTTTGGAGAATGGATATTATAGAAGAGCATGTACTTTTGGAATTTTTGAGTTGTACATTTTATAGCATAGTCTCTTGTTTTATGGACCTATGTGGGGAAAACATGTATTCTATGGATGATTTATGTGCAATATGCAATGTGCGGATTTGGGGGTGTTACACATTGTGGTGTAAAAATGTATATCTATGTAATGAAATATGTGTTATATGCAAATGTGGTGTTTGGGGGTGTTACAGAAGTGGTATCAGAGCCTTAGTTTAAGAGATTTAGGTATTCAAAACATGATGCCTAGACTTAAACTATCATTTGCATGTTAAGGGTCCCGGACATGATTAGTATCACTGGGAATAAAATATAATAGGTTAAAGAGGGAAGTATGTAATTATGAATTTATAGGTACATACCTATACTCGGATACCATATTATATTTGGGAATGTGAATACGTGATATTTATCACTAAATTATCTGCAGATATCTAGTCGATCACGAAGATCAGAGAGAATTGCCCACCCTGCATCTGAAGAAAAGGAGGAGTCTCCTGTTAATCCTCCAACTTATGCTTCGGGGAGTAGGGTCGGGGTAGAACCAGAAGTAGAGGGCGAGGAAGGAGTCAGATTCCGGAAAGGAGTCAGGCCGAGATTCTTTCGGATCAAGGGGAATCTATTTCTGGGAAAACACATCAGGAGCAAAGGCAGCAACCTGAGTTTATAACTAGAGACGTTCTAGCAAAAGAAATGGGAAAACTGAGGGAAACTTTGATATTCATTATGGGATTGCCAACTAGAGTAGAAACTGAGTGAGTTGGAATTAATCCTCCAGCTCCTTCAGCAGGCAGCAATAACCGGGGAGGAGACATAAAAATGTTCTTGACATGTAAACCTCCAACCTTTTCAGGAGAAAGAGATCTAGTAAAAGAAATGTGCTGGATAAAAGAGATTGAGTCAATATTCAACACTAGTAGGTGTTCTAAAGAAGTTAAGGTTAGATTTGTGGTATCTATGCTGAAATCTAATGCCTTATATTGGTGGGATGTGGAGTCCTCATGTTAGACCCCATAAGTCTTATGTATGGAAGTAATGAAGACAAACAAATGATGAAGAACCAGAAGGCCGATGGAAGACTTCAAGGCAAAATGACTAAGTCTAAAGAACAAACAGAGGGTCGATGAACTGACCAGAGATGCGATGGAAATTGCATTTTCATAACCCCTTTGGGTATGAACACTTGGAGTTTTCCTCACTAGTTCAACCAGAGGCATGCGATGAAGATATGAAGATAAGGTTGAACTAACGACCCATGGAAGACAGCTGGAGATTACTAATCAACAGCTGGATTCTACAAAGTTTGTCTTGTTTTATTGTTTATCCATGTTTAGATAAGCTTTATCTGTTCTTAGAAGATTAGCTAAATAGTCTCACTAAATAGTTATCTTCTTAGCTAGATTACTAGTATAAATAGGTGGTTAGGCCTATTGTAATGTTTGACACTTTTACGTTTTTCACAATCATTGAAATAAAGTGAAACCTTTGACACTCAAGTATATTATTTGATGCTCATCAATTGTTCTTGAGTGTTCATCATTTTATTCTTCCAAACACTATAATTAGGTATTCTTAACTTAGTTATTAGTGTTATTGAGAGATCTTGGATCAACAATTGGTATCAGAGCATGTTGATTGTTTTTTCAATCAAAACGATAATTAAAATCTCTCAATTTGCCTTTTTTTTTCAAAAAAGATCTTCTCTAAAACATAAGTTTTCTCTTCCAAAATCTTAAATGGCCAACTGAAATTTCGCTTACAGTGTTGGTTCCCTCACAAAACCTCCAACTCTTCAAAGAGAAGTGTATCCACAATGGAGGATACGGATGGTAAACTTTCTGGAAGGAAAGGACAAAAATCTTCTGTGATCTGTCATGGAGGGCCCCTACGTTCAACAGAGTCTTGTTTCAAGAGTCCCAGGAACAAATACCACAGTAGAAATTCCTGCCTATTACATGCCCAATGATGAGAAGAATTGGGATGAAGACATAGAGCGCGTGGAGACTGACAAGAAGGCCAAACGACTAATCATCATGGCTAATCCCAATGAAATCTTCCAATCCCTTGATGCATGTTCCACAGCAAAGGAACTATGGGATGAGCTGGCAAGCCAATTAGAAGGAGGAGCAAAAACAAAGAAGAATCGTAAAGCCCAATGTCTCAACGAATATACCAACTTCAAGGCTCTTCCAGATGAACCGATTCAGAAGACATACGATCGTTTCAACACATTGATTTATCAATGTCGTCGAAACGATATCTCCAGGACGAAGGAAGAAAATAATGTTTTGTTCCTTAAAAGTCTCAGCGATGAATGGACACAGCTGTCAATGTCCCTTCAAGCAAATCAGGACTTAGACGGCTGGTCACTTCATGACGTATACAGAAGGCTTGCTACACAAGAGAATGATATCATGAAGAAGAAAGTGTCCATCGGTGGACCCCTGGCTCTTGCTGCTGAAGAAAAGGATGTTTCAAGGACCTCCACCAGAGACCACAAGAAGAAAGGAAAGAAAGCACTGATGGTAGAATCAGAATCTGAGGACGAGACATCCGAATCAGATGATGATATCAAAGCCTTTGTTAAATCTCTGGCCTTGATTACAAAACAGTTATAGAAGAAGTTCATCAAAAGACCCTATGAACGAAGAGACTTCAAAAGGGAGAAGTACCAACCATCCTATGAAAAGAAGCCATCAAAATTCTATCAGAGGGAAGACATAAGAGATGGAAGAGAAGAGAGAGAAGATAGAAGAGAGGAGAAGAAAGAAGACAGAGACGGAAGGAAAAATGACCTCCGCTGCTTTAGGTGCAGAAAAATCGGTCATTTT